ATAATAACAGGTTGAATGAGGTGGGCAAAGAACCTGCCATGGGTGTTTGTGTGTGTATGTGTGTGCTTGTGGGAAGCACTCACAATATTCCCCATCTTCTAATTTTGAAGAGGTATTTTTAGTGTGTATTTCAAAGAGCTTTACATAAACACATCTGCTGGAGTTTTTGCTGGGAAATGTCTTTACAACACTCTTTTCTGTGCCCTCCTTCTCGGGGGACAAGGGAATAGTCTGACCATTTTCAATCAGATAAGCAAAGCCAGAGAGCAAGAGAGAAAGTCACAGGCTCATTTTGCCAGTGCTAAAAGGCTTCTCAGCCCAAAGGATGGATTTTAGAAACACTTTGGGCAGCTCAAATCACCCTCACTAGTGCCCAGGGCAGAAGCACACGTGATGTGGCCGTGACAGAGAGTGCAGAAATGTGGGAGAGCAGGGATCCTGACCCTCCACTGCCCTCTCCTGCACGGCCAAAACCTCCAGGTGAGGAAAGGAGAAGAAAGATGGGATATTCCGTCACCTGTCCGTGCAGTTTTTGCGTGTCACTCAGGAAAAGTGGCAAAGAGAACATCCCTGGTGCAAGCAGCTGCAGGCACAGGAGTTTCTCCAGCCTCCCCTCAGGATGCCTGTGTTCTGGTGTTCCCAGTTCCAGGCAAGGTACCCATCCTTCATCATTTAATGCCAGTGAAACATTCACAGCTTTTAGGCTCATTGGAGATGTTTTAACCTTTATTGTTTAGGGGGTTTTGGTTGGCTGGAGCTGCTTCTGCCTTTTCACTAGGGGTGTAGAGATGATGGGAACATGAAGCCAGCCAGGTCTGAAGCAGGGAATATAGTAAAGTTTCTGTATTGGCTATCCTAAATCCTCTGACCTTGGAAGTGCTGCCAGTGCAGGTCTGCCAAGTGCACTCAGTGCCCAGTGCCTCTGAAGTGCTTGTGCATCCAGCACCCAACCCAGCTGTGTGTGCAAAGGAAAATAAAGAATAAAATAACCCTGAAACTGCTTGGTTAGCACGATCCAGACCCAGTTTGCTTACACTGCTGCTTACAGGGCAGTTGGGAGGGGCACAGAGGCTGCACAAGGCCACTGACGGCTGGAACTGCTGGGGTCCATCCTGTGGAGGAAAAGGACAACGCAGCTGAGCCAGGAGATTGTCTGGTGCCACGGTGCAGCAGCTGAAAGGTCACTAGGGAGACAATTTTCCTGCTTTTGTCTCCTCTTGAGATGAGTTACTGGGAGGAAAAGGCTGATTGATGGAAGGCTTGTGGCAGGAGACTGCTGCGGGGCCAGGGCAGCTGGGCTGGGACATGGGAGCCTGTGGGCAGGGGAGGGCTGTGCCTGGCAGCCCCGGGATGGCAGCACCCAGGGAATGTCAAATGCACAGCAAACCCACCCTGACTGCTGTCACTGCGGGCCCTGGGGGGACGGGTGTCACTGGGCCCAGCTCCCCAAGCAGTGTGCGTCACCAAGTGCCACATTTCATGGCCTGATGAGATGGCATTTGGCCATGGCATGCAGCTCAGGATGGAGGGATGGGCATGGTTTGGGAGTTTGCTCCCTGAGGCAGCCAACACTGTGTGTCTTTGTCCTGTCCTCTGTGGACAGCGCCAGGATCTGTCTGGGCAAGGGCAGTGCTTTAACTGGTCTGCATGGAAACCCCACAAACTGGGGGTGACATCCCTTCGCCAGGCAAGGAAGGCAGAGTGGGTTGGCCTCAGGGACTTTGCAGGGCACTGCCAGCTGCAAAGAGCCACCTATCCCTTCTCCTCCATGTGGCCATAGTGCTTTGTGGTGGTTTCATCCACCTTCAAATAAGGAATATTTGGGTTCCTTCCCACCAGTGACCTTCCCAGCACCATTTGTATTTGGGTAGGCAATAGATCATTTCCCTCTGCTGTCAGCACATTCTGTTAGAGAGGGAGTACTTGTAAGAGCCCACATCTGACACCACAGTGTGGAGGTGAGCAAGCTGGGCTGTGAGAGGCTTGTGCTGGTGGAGAGCTCTGTGTGCCTGCTGCTGCTTTTCCAGCCACTGCAGCACTGGAAAAAAATTGCCCTGAGCCCAAAAAACCCCTCCTGGACCAGAGACCGCTGGGATGGGAAGGGACAGGATGAGCCAGCTGTGGTGGGTGGTTACACTGAGCATGTTCTGCCCTAAGTGGGTGGCAGGCAGCCCACAGGTGCCCCACTGTGGGGAGTCTCCCATCAGGAGTAGCTGTGCTGCTTCTGGACAGGTCTGATGGATAGGCTGGATTTCTGCACAGGAGAAATAAAGGGAAAAAAAACAAGTGCAAGTGATTGAATTGTCAAGTGGAAATGGAGAAGCTTGGAGGGCAGGTGGGATGGGTGGGCAGGTGCCTTGTCCTGGTCCCATTGCCTGTGGCCAGGAGCAAGCGCATCCTTAGGGACAAACGTGCAACTTCCTCCTCTTCTCCCTGCCTCCTCTGGCACATCCCCTGGGCTGAGTGAGTCCCGTGCTTCCAGCAGCATCCTGCTGAGCATCCCCGCTGCTCTCTCTGGGCCAGCTCCAGCAAAAACACCCACAGAGGCTTTTTCTTTTCTGCTGCAGGCACAAGCAGCAGGGAAGGTGTGATAATCCCTCCTTTGAGGCCACAGAGATCGTTCACACCAAACTGCATCACTTTTATATCAGTCATGAAAGACACAAAAGACAATAAGAAAAGAAAATGTTTATATATATATATATATATATATGTATTCAATCAATGTCTATGGAGCTCCACGCCAGGGGATTACCAGCCAGTTTAAAGCATTAGTGACTCTCAGCATCCATCAGAGGAGAACATTTGGTTGAATGGAAGCCAGCCTTTGATGCAATTGGAGAATAATTATTTCCATCAATAATTACTTCCAAGCCCAGAAGAAAAGGTTCCTGGCACGTTGCAGGACAGGAGTCCTTGATTGCCTCGAGGCCAATATGTTTTAACCCCAGGCCCTGGAAATCCCATTAGAGGCTGGGTGACAAGGATGTTGCCTGCCATGCCCAGGTCCTGGCAGTGGTGTTCCAGCCTGCTGCCAGCCTGGGGAGGATCCCTCCTGCCTCTGCTGCTGGAGTGCATCCAGCTCAGACTTTGCACAGGTCATTAATTTGGGGACGTTTTTAATGGATCCTAATGATTGAGCCTCAGAAGGCTGTTCTTAAAAGGGGTTTGGGAAAGGCCACAGGCCAATTAGCTGGCACACAGGAAACTATTAACCATGTAGCTTCCTGGATGGTTAAAAATAATGGAGATGTTGGGAAGCTGGGGGATTTACTACAAAAAGACTTTTTAAAGCAAGAGGGACTATTCACCTCCTGTATGTTCTGGGCCAGAAATATTTCACCCAGCTTCCCCCCCACTGATCCTGTCCCTTTTATTTGGCTGTGCATATCCTTAAATGTTAAGGCATAACAAAACAGGCTCCAAGGAAGAGCTGGCTATTAGAGAGAGTGGATGTTTGTTGAGAGAGAAAACACAGGTGGGAAGAGAGGGGTGACCCCTCTGCAGGTGCTTCTGTGCCAACTCCAACCCCAAGGAGTGTTATTCCTGGCTGAGGCAGGCAGCAGGATGTTTTCTGGGGCATGCAAGACTCTGGCCATGCCTAACTGGGGCTTTTTTAATGTGCCATCGCTGTTTAACCACCCTCTTGCCCCCACTTAACCCCCAGATGTGCAGCACACACCTGGCCCTTGTTCCTATCTCCACAGTCCATGTGTGATGGCTGTGGTGGTCTCTGCAGCCAAAGCATCTTTAACTGTGGCTGCAGGGCTGGCAGCAGGGTGGCTGCAGGACATCCCAGCCTCCCCCTGCTCTGGTGGGATCCACATGGTCTGAGGGCTCCAGAGTGTTGCTTTCCAAGGAGAGGAGGTAGGTCTGGTGGCAGACACAACCACGGGACTTTGCAGAGCTGATCCTAAAGTGGCACCCACAGCCCAGTCCTGGGATTGACTTTAAAATGATAATGAGAAAACATGATAATGGGGACACTTTTAGTGCCAGCTGAGCCCAGCCTACCCTGGGTATCACCCCACAGCTAGGCTGGGCCTGGACATGCCCATGCTTGCTTTATCTATTCCATAATGCTCTGGATGACACCAAACCCCAGCGTTTACAGCACCCTGCTGGGTAAGGTTTATGGCTTTTCATTAATCTTTTCATTCTTTGAAATAAACATCTGCAGGGTCTGGAAACCTATTTACTTTCCTCCTGAGTGTCTGCACGCAGACTTGTTTGGGTTTGTTTTCTCCATTCGGCTTCTTTTCTCCATTGCAGCTTGCACAAGCTCCAATGTTTCTTAGAAACCACTCCCTCCCGGCTTTCCCTGCCTTTGCTCTGCTCCTTGCCAGCTCCCAGGGCTCTTGCAGGCACTGACCTGGCCCCGGTGGTTCCCCTTAACTCTGCTGGGCTGTCCCAGCTTCTCAAGGTTGAGCTGTCAGCAGGACCAGGTATGTTCACTAGCTCAGCACCTGATTTGTAGGAGCAGAGAAGTTAGCTGCCAGTCTGGGGTGAGGATGTGTGGCAAGGTGTTATCGAGGCATTAGCAGGTTTGGAAAACTACATTTGAAATGGTAAAGGGTTGGTTTGGGGTTTTTTCTTTCAAGAGTGCAAAATCTGTGCTGTCTCTGCAGAGCTGGTGATCTAAACCTCACAATGCAGGAGATGATGTCCTGACTGGCTCCTGTTTTCCCTTCCCGTTGGATTGGATCTGGCTCTGTGCTGTCCAGCTGCTCCTTGGCTGCATGACACTCGTGGCATCTCTGCCTGAACAAAGAGCACAGCATGCCTGGGCTGGGGTGCAGCTTGGCTTGGAAACGGGGCATCCCAGAGCCCTGTGGGAGCACATCCCACTGCAGAGCTGAGCCCTGAGAGCATCCTGCAGCTCTCCTTCACAGCACAGCTCCTAGCTGCGAAAGGGAAATGAGATTCCCTAGGTAGTGGGGAATGACCCCAGCTGAAGGAACAGCTCCTGAAGGCTCTGTTGTCTCCTCTTGCCCCAGCAGTGGGACGCTCAGCTGCCTGCCATACCCTGCGGAGGACAGACGGCCCGAGAAGCTGAGCAGCTGTGTGGTCAGGGAGCCCGCCAGCGCCAATGGCTGTGCCAAGGGGAGGGACAGACGAGACCGTGCCCACCGCAGGTCACGCAGGTAGGAGCCACCAAAGAGGCCACCCTGGGGCACGGGGGTGGCAGGGGAGGTGTCCCTGGCTGTTTGCTCAGCCCCTCTGGGGTCTCTGACTGCTGGGGTGGCTCGGTGTGTACGCAGAAAATGTGTGCAATTGCATGAAATCCCTGTGCGAGTTTGCAGGGACAAACCTGCAGTTCATTTCTACTCCAGGGCTTGCTCTTACAGCCTCCTTCCGAGTGTTCCAAGACCTGCCAGCACTCCTCTGCACTACCAGGTCTGCTGGGAATCGCCCTCAGCAATTCCCCTCTCCCCATGCCTAGATCAGCTCAGCAGCACTGCCTTCATTAGGACACAGCCTCGTTATCTACTTGTCGTTAGTCCCTGACCACTTGAGAGGGGAAAAATGAATGGAACGTTGTAAATGAAGCAGCTGGGGTCTCTGAGCCCTGCCTGCTCAACTGTCTCTGGGATTAAAGCCTCTCTGTTCAGTTAAAGATGCTGGAAAGAAAGAGCAAGAAAGCACATTTCATATCTTCAGATTTCAGGCCAACCAGGCACACTTTTAATTAGACTTTGATTATAATCGCAGAGGAACAATTGAAGTCAGATCAGCACATGGGAGAAAGCTGCTACATCAAAGACAAAAGACTTTATCTGGGGAGAAGGAGAAAGGCTCTGCAGAAACCGCCTGTGGCTGTATGGTCGGATGTTCCTCCCTGCTTTCCCGTGGCTGTGGCGGTGCCCAGCTGTGCCCCTGGGTGTCTTTGGGCAGGTGTCTGAGCTTAGTGACAAGGAGACATCCTGGAAAATGCATGATTTCTGTCTGCATTGAGGTAGAAGGCCCAGCTGAGCCCAAGGTGTGCCATAGCCTCTCATGCTGCTGCTGCTGGTCCGTGAAATCCTTAGGAGGAGACAGTGAGGAGGAGTGTGTGGGTGCTCCATGGGGCCATGCTGTGGTTGCACACTGGATTTACTGGACCAAAAGCACTCATTATTCACAGCTCACAACTGAATTATTAGCTTGCAGTTTTATTTTGCAGAGCTTTTATATTTTTTTCCCCAAAGTGTATTAAAAGCACTAAGCAATTGAGTTTTTATGATAGCGTAATTTCAGTGCTAATTCAAGCCCTGGATGATCAAGTGTTGAGGGGTGGTGGAGTCTGAGTGTCCCTCCCAAAGTGTCATTTGCTTTGCATTAGGACTTCCATTAGCAATAATGTTTGTTCTTGCTGCAGAAAACTGCTCAATTTTTGGCCTGTTTCTGTAGTGAAGACCTGACAGCATTCTCCATCCATGGGGCTGCTTCCACCTGTTCCTTGCTCCTGGCTATTCCCAGGGGCAGGATAAGAAGTGAGGAGACCAAGGCACAAACCCAGCACCCTCAGTGATTTTTTCAGAGGCCCTGGGGAACTCACTGTGCCCCTACAAACCTTGGTCATGGATCCATCTGGGGATTCAGAGGGACCTGTGGCTGATTTAGGGATGCCACCAGGCTGCCACCAGCTGCTTCTGTCTTTACAAGCATTTGCTTTAGTTAATGAGTAGCCACAGAGTATCTGTCATTTTTTTCAGCCCAATGCTCTGAATTAATTAACCACGGTATCTGCTTTTCATTGAAACATACCACAATCCAGCATCATATGTTTAAAGAAGAAAATAATTTGCAGCAGGGTTTATTTTTAAGGTTTAACAACTGTATAAGAGATGCATATCTCCTTCAATTACCATAGTGTCTCAATAAATATATATATATATATATATATATATATTTCTAATCAATTGCTACTTAACACATGTCAAGTCTTTATTATAGTTAGATGCATCTGGTTGCAATAATTACCATATGCAAATTAAATGCCAATTAATTATTTAAAGCATATTTACAAAGAGCAACAAAACCTATAAATCTGTTTCGGAGTCGTTACCCTCAGCAAACATGTTTTAAATAATCAGCATTGCTGTGGTGGGGCTGTCTTGTGATATCTCTATTAGACACTTCATTTAAACTGTAACTAAATAATTAGTTAGAGGGTAATGAGGCAACACCCACACATTTGGTCTACCATTAACACTGACCTTGCTGCCCCATGTCCTGGAGGTGGGGATGCCATGTGAGCCTATTCAGGGTTTATTTTTATTATTTTTAATGTTTATTGGGTCCTGTCCCCCATCTTCAGCCATTCGTGTGACGGGGAGCGGCCGCTGCCGGCTCGGGGGAAGAAGAAGAAAAAGAAATCCGGTCGCAAGAAGCGAAGGAGGTGAGGGAGCCATGGCGGTGTGAGGGAGCCATGGCGGC